ACTGACGGCACCCCCAGAGGACCTGGGGCTCAATTCCTAGCACCTACATGGCAGCTCACAACTGACACTTTCACACAGAAATACATGCGAACACAACAGCAATAAAACGAATAATTTAAAAAATAATTTAAAAAACTCACGTCAATGTTTTAATTAAGAAATCCAGTAGGCGTTAAATCACTTCGTCCAATTCCTACGAACGGTATCTACATGCTCCCTCCTACTCTTCACTCGCAGTGGCTAGCACGCAGCCCAGGGGCCTCTGACCTCATCAGGGGGCCCTCTGTGATTCACCCTGTGCCCTGCCCATTGGCCTCTAACTCCAGCTCCAGCGGCACCCAACAGCTTTGGCCTCTGCGCGCGCACACACATACATAATTTTTAAAGTAATTAAAACAAATTTAAAGAAAATGAAACTTACTTCTCATGGTTACAGAGGCCAGAAGTCCAAGTTCAGGCCTGTGGAATAGTTGACTGGTGAGAACTAATTCCTGGTTCACAGACTGACCCTTCTGGAACCTTCTGGCTGTGCCCTGGCTCTCTAGGTCCTCTTTGTTTTATTTTAGGCTCAGTAGCAACTTTATTAGAGAGGAAAACAGCAGGCTGGGCCCCTGGGACCTAACCTAGTCTCTCTTTCTTTGAAAGAGGAGACATGAGAAGGACTCGGTAGCATGGATGCTGTAGGACTTTGCGACTATGTTAGCAGTTGTGGGGCCCTGTGGGTGACAGGAAAGGAGAAATCCACAAGGAGCTGTGAATGGGGCCTCCAGAGAAAGAGATTAACGCCCAAGCTGTCAGGAGACTCGGTTTAGGATTTGGGCTGGTACCTATCCCACAACCCAAAAGAAGGAAGGAAAAGAAAAGTCACACCTTTTAGAGTTAGGACCTAAGAACACAGGCAGGCTTAGCAACGAGGGGTCCGATAAGCGAGTGCCTGTGTTCTCTTTTACCAGAGTGCTTATCCTAACCAGACACAGTGGTGCACGCCTTTAGTCCCAGCACTCAGGAGGCAGAGTTGATCTCCGAGTTCAAAGCCAGCCCAGTCTACACAGCCAGCTCCAGGACAGCCAGGGCTACACAGAGAAACTTTGCCACGAAAAACAAAACAAGAAAATAATAAAAAGAAAGAATGAGCTGGGTGTTGGTGGCGCACACCTTTAATCCCAGCACTCGGGAGGCAGAGGCACTCTGTGAGTTCGAGGCCAGCCTGGTCTACAAAGTGAGTTCCAGGACAGCCTCCAAAGCCACAGAGAAACCCTGTCTCAAAAAACCAAAAAAAAAAAAAAAAAAAAAAAAAAAAAGAATGATCATCCTATTCGAGGCAGCATTGACCTAAGGACCTAATCACTTCCTGAAGGCCCCACCTCCAAAGACCATCATGGAAGGGGGTAGAATTTCAATGTGTGAGTGCTGGGGACACAAACATTCAGACCCTAGCAGTCGGTGGTGTCCTAGCGATCTTTAATTGTCAACTTGACTCAGCTTAGAATAATCTGAGATAAAAGCCTCAACTGAAAAAAAAATTGCCTGGATCACTTTGGGCATGTCTGTAGGGGATTGTCTTGATTGCTAGTTGACACAGGAAGAAGGCCCAGCCCACTGTGGGTGGCACCATTCCCTAGGTAGGTGGTCCAGGACGGCACAAGAAGACTAGTCATGAACTAGCAAGCTAGCAGCATTCCTCCGCTGTTTCTGGTTCAGCTCCTGCTCCTGTTCATACCCTGACTGTCTTCAGTGACGGGCTGTGACCTGGCAGGTTAAGCCAAATAAATGCTTTCTCCTGTAAGTTGCTGCCATCAGCGTTATTTTGTTACAGCAGCAGGAGGAAGCTAGAAGAGTCAGTAAAAGAAAGTCAACCAGCAGGACCTCTGTCAACGATGACGCCTGCAGGGTCACTGTGGAAAAAGCCTTGGAAGGAGGTGGGAGGGGTCAGCAGTCCGGTGTGATTCCTGTAGACACTGAAGCATACCGCAGTAGTATGAGGACCCGGGGGATCTGAATGGTGCCTCCCTGCGCCATTGCTCCATAGCAAGCACTCTAGGGACTGTTTCAGCCCTCTCCATTTCCCTAACAGCAAGTCACTGTAAGAGTTGTGTTTTGATCAAAAGCACACACCAATGAATCACCGTGGGAATGACCTTTGCAACTGAGTTCCTGGGATGTTTATGCAGCTGCTCAGGACAAGGGTTCCATTCCCTGCTCGGGGTGGTGAAGGAGCAAATGTATTTATTGTTTCAGTTTTTATTTGCTTTTGGTTGTTTTTGTCTTGTCATTTTTCTGTCTTGAGGCAGGATTTTGCTCTGAAGCCCAGGCTGGCCTTTAACTCCTGGTGCTCCCCCAACTCCATCTTCCACAGTGCTGGGATTACGGGCCTCACTCACCACGACATTTGGCTCTGCTGTTGAGACAGGGTCAAATGTAGCTCAGGCTCCCCTAAAATTGTCTGTGTAGCTGAGGCTAGCCTTGGTTGATCTTCCCCACCCAACGTGGCCTTTTTTGAAACAGGTTCTTTTTTTTTTACTTGTTCGTTTTGTTTTTTTGAGACAGCTGTCCTGGAACTCACTCTGTAGACCAGGTTGGCCTCAACCCATAGAAATCTCCCTGCCTCTGCCTCTTGAGTGCTAGCTCAAACTGTCTGACTTGAAACAGGATTTATACTATAATCACCATAGTCCAGGCTAGCCTGAAACTAACCATGTAGCCCGGGCTTGAACTTGCCTCCTACCTCATTTCCCTGAGTGCTGAGATCACACGTGTGTGTGTATGTGGGAGGCACACATACCACAGGATGTATGTGGAGGTCAAAGGAATTTTCAGAAGTCGATTTTCTCCTTCTATCTTGTGGGTCCTGGGAATCGAACTCAAGCCGTCAGGTTTGGAAGCTCCCATTTCCATCTGCTGAGCCAAGTTTCTCTGGTCTTAGTTTTAATCTATATAGCTCACTTTGATAATAGACTTAAGGGACTAGGGAGAAATTTGTCATTAAAATTACAGAGCTCCAAATCCCTACCTCTTAAGGAATTACTCGTTGGGAAGTTAGGGGAATGTTCAAACACATTAGTTCCCTTCAGTGTCCTCAGCTCATCTGCCAGACGGCAGTAGATAGGGCCTCTGCTAGTTCACAGTGTTTCCCTTGGGATGTGCACCATGTGTCACAAAGCCCCATGTGTACAGGCTTGGCCATGATGTGCAACTCCATGGGACATGCTGGGACTTGGAGTCCTCACCTTTAGTGGGTGGGGCTCAGTGGGAGGAAGGCAGTGCTTTGGAAGCAAATAACAGGATGCTGGTGAACAACCTTTCTCTAGAGACCGCGTGCTGCAGGTGTCTCCTGTTGCTAGACTCAAAAGAGCGGGGCCAGGTGACTGTGAACTGAAATTCTGAAGCGATGAGCCAGCCTGAACTCTTCCTATATATCGGCTTATCTCGGGTATTTGTCTAGTGACAGAAACCTGAGTAACAGAAACCCTTTGGGATGTGACATGACATCCAGGAGACAGCAGAATCGGAGGGGAGTCACTCTGGTTGGTATATTCCACGCTTCCCTAGTATGGAAGCTCCGCTTTCAACTGAAAACAAGACTGTTCTAAATGTCACCGCTCTACACCCCATCTGGACTCCTGAACACAAGCTGTCTTGCTTCTGACTCAGGTGTCATCACCCACTGAAAAGCCTACCGCATCCAGCTTGGCTGGCAGTGGGGTCTCAGCTCGGTGGGAGAGAAGCACACGCCTCCCCCAGCAAAGCGACCCTGTGCGACTGGCATTATTACTTCCCAGACAGAAAGAGGATGCAGAGGGCAACAGAGATCATCTGGCCCTGCGGAGGGCAAACGGTGGCAACTAACGGTCCACTTGTTGCCCGCGTGAAGAACACAGCTAGGGCTGCTGCCTCGCTGAGACTCCCAGTGTAGTGATCTATAGGCTAAGACAGAGTTCGGTTAGAATGCAGCACGTGTGGTCCTGAACACAGAGCAGACAGACAGAGCTTGCCTGAGCCAGTCCTGAGCAGAGAGGCCCAGTGAATCCAGCAGAGGTCAGTCTTGGGGGGAAAGCATCCAGATTCCTTCAAGATGTGCTGGCATCCTTTTTAGCTCCCATCATGAGACTCCTTCTCAAAAGGATGGAACAAAAAGCCAGGAGGATGGGGTAAAACAACTGCCATATGAGCATGAGGGTCAGAATTTGGATTTCCCGTACCCACACAAATACCGAGTGGGTGTGGTAGCCTGCCTGCAAGCCTGGTGTTGTTTAGGAGGTAGGAACAAGGATCCTCGGGGGATGCTAATGTGTTAGACTAGCCCTGTAGTGACTCTGGATTCAGCTGAGAGAACCTGACTCAATGAATAAGGTTGAACACAATGGAAGAGACTCCCTATTCAGCCTTGGGCCTCTATGAGTACACACACATACATGCACACACACACACACACACACACACACACACATGTCCAAACCACACACAGTCACATGTCTATGAACTGCATGAATGCACATGAGTGCATACACACACATTCACACACACACAGAGAGAGAGAGAGAGAGAGAGAGAGAGAGAGAGAGCCTGCCTCAGAAAAAGGGCATCAGATGCAGAAAATCTTCGAGGCTGAAGGCAAGAACTTCATGGCTATAAATAACCCATCACTTTGGGGGAGCCAGCCTTCAAGATCACAATAGCTCTCAACCTCCTGAATTAGGTTGTGTTTGTGAAACTGTATACGGCACAGTCAAAATTTTTCAAAACATAAACTTCCATTTCATGTAGTATTCCCCAGGGAACAGGAAGCCATGGGAAATTCTTCCCAGAGGGGACAAATGTTTGTTTCCAGAACTTAGAATGATGTCCCTATATGAGGCTGCCCAGATTGTAACAATTGGTGATGTTTTGGCAGAGCTGTCATGAAAAGCTGTCACGCTACAAGCCAAGAGACCTTTAGGAAGAATCTACATTCCACATCTAAAGGCACAAGACAATACCTGCATAAGCACATTGTGTTCTGGTTGAAGGGCGAAGAGAGATGGGCGTTTATTGAACTTTGACAATGGGCAGGCACTCTGCCCACCTTGCCATACTCCACAATAACCTGCACAGTACAAACTGTCACCACTTCCGCTAAGCGGGGAAGTGAGGCTCCCCAAAGCCGCTTGTCTGAGGTCACATGGGAGCAAACAGGAGCCACTGAATGGCTTCCCCGGGTTCTCCAGGTCCCATCTGGGATATTTCCTGCTAAGCAGCTGGTATTTTTTGTTTTTTTTTTTTGAGACAGGGTTTCTCTGTAGCTTTGGAGGCTGTCCTGGAACTCGCTCTGTAGACCAGGCTGGTCTCGAACTCACAGAGATCCGCCTGCCTCTGCCTCCCGAGTGCTGGGATTAAAGGCATGAGCCACCACCGCCCGGCGCTAGAGCAGTTTTTATAGTTAACGGTTGGTCACTACAAAGAGCTAAGAGGAGAGTGAGTCTTTGACAAGGATGGGAAAGACAGAGCAATGTCACCTATGGAGGCGTTTCCAGAAGACACTAGATAAGGTCACAGGCTCATCATCAATTAGACTTCCATGCATGTGGAATGCCTCCCTTCTGTGTCATACTTTGGAGACTTACATGTGCTTCGATTGCACTCCAAGCGCGGATTGAAGGCCACCCCCGTTCCACGGTTTCTGTCCACAACTCCCCCCTGTGGTCCTTAGACTACGGTCTCAATGGAGACGGTGTTGCCATTGCCCTCCTGGCGTCTGGGCTGCATTTCGTCTTTGAAAGCCCGGGTCAGAACCACTTTCAAGGACTCTCTGAAGCGCTTCTTCTTGCTGCTGCCCACAAAGAAGTAGATGAACGGGTTGGCGCTGCTGTTGACGGTGGAGAACAGCAGGGAGATGTTATGCAGGTTCCCAAAGGCCGACCAGTACTCGTAGTAGAGCAGGTAGAGGACCCGCATGGGCACCGCGAAGATGAGGAAGACGATGATGGTGACCATGATGATGATGTACAGCTTTGACGAGTGCGAGGCCCACGTGTTCTTCCGTATCTTCACCACCAAGATGGTGCTGGAGACCAGCATGAGCGGCGTGAAGACCAGGAAGCTCAGGATGGCTATGAAGATGATGACCGCCCGGCAGTCGCTTCGGGACCGACTCTCTTCCCCACTGTCGATGCACATGACGTACTCCATGGTGGTCACCAAGCAGGAGAGCGCCCACAGAAGGGCGCAGACGAGCGCCGACTGGTGCTTGGGGCGGTGGCATCGGTACCAAATCGGGTAGAGGACCGACAGGCACCTCTCCACACTGATGGCGGTCAGCAGGTAGAGGCCCGTGTTGTAGCCAAATAGAAAAGTCACCGACAACGTGACGATGGTGTAGTAATGGCCAGAAGAGAGCTCATAGTCCAAGGCATAGTCGATGGACAGAATGAAAATACAAAACAGGAGTGAGATGTCGGCCACGGACAAGTGCGTGATGTAGACTGTGAAGGGGTTTCTCCTCATCCGGAAGCAGAGGAACCAGAGGAGAATCCCGTTCTCCACAAAGCCCAGCGGGGAGATGCTCATAATGACCCAGTGCACTACGGGAATGGGCGGGTGCGAGCTCCCCAGGGAGGCATTCCTGCTGGAGGTGTTCATGGCTCTCTCCTCAGCAAGGGATGTCATATTTAACTGGTCCATGAGGAGGCTGTGGGCTGAGCCGCTTCAGGTCATTTTCTGTAAACAAGCCAAACAAACAGAAACTATGAAAACTGGAGAATTAAAATAGAAGAGACAGCTTGCATGGAGGAAAGTGTTTGCTTTGCAAGCCACAAGGAGCTAAGCTGGATTCCTGAGATTCACATTTAAAAACAAACAACAGCCGGGCGTTGGTGGTGCACGCCTTTAATCCCAGCACTTGGGAGGCAGAGGCAGGCGGATCTCTGTGTAAACCAGCCTGGTCCACAGAGTGATTTCCAGGACAAGTAGGGCTACACGGAGAAGCCCTGTCTCGAAAAACCATATAAATAAACAAAACAAAAACAAAACAAAAACCCCATAGGTGTGGGGCCTGTAGAACCTGCTTGGTGGTTAAGAGCACTGGCTGCTCTTGCAGAGGACCTGGGTTCAGTTCCCAGCACCCAGTTGGAGGCTCACAATCTGTTATCTCCAGTTCTGGTGGATATGATGTCATCTGGCCTCTGTAGGCACTGCGCGCATGTGATGCACATGTGTACATCCAGATAAAACATATGTACACATAAAAAGAGATTTTTTTTTCGATACAGGGTTTCTCTGTGTAGCTTCGGAGCCTATCCTGGCACTCACTCTGCAGACCAGGCTGGTCTCTCAGAGATCTGCCTGCCTCTGCCTCCCGAGTGCTGGGATTAAAGGCATGCACCACCAGCACCCGGCAAAAAGGAGAGATACATTTTAAAAGGCTAGATATGATGGCACACATTTGTAATCTCAGAACTGGGGAGGCAGAGATGGGGTAATTCCTAGAGCTTGCTGGCCATCCAGTCTAGCCATAATGACAAGTTCCAGGCCAGTGAGAGAGATCACATATATCGCACACACACACACACACACACACACGCACACACACGCAAAGAAATAACATAAAATAGAAGGGAGACATTTCGGCTGTGAATCATAACCTTGACATTATGGCTAGAAAGTTCCGAGGCTGGAGAGATGGCTCCATGGCTAAGACAACTTTGCTGCTCTAGCAGAAGGCCCAGGTTCCGTACCCAGCACCCACATGGTGACTCCTGAACAACCTATAACTCCAGTTTCAAGGGATCCAACACCCTCTTCTGACCAAGAACACCTGGCATATAGTACACAAACATACATGCAGGCAAAAAAAAAAAGTAAACAAAGAAACCACTCATACGCACAAAATAAAAATAACTAGGGGCTAAAGAGATGGCTCTGTGGTTAAGAACTTATCGCTCTTAGAGAAGACCCAGTCTGGGCCATAACCTGTGGCCCAGTTGGGGTCTGGAGGCCATGCTACTGCTGGGGTCATACAGACCTGGGTGGCAGATCAGGCCATGGTGCCTTCCAGGTCCAGGCTTTCTGCTGAGGGTCATGTCTGGGTCCACAGCCCTGTAGCAGCCAGGATGCAAGTTGATATCCATGGCTCCTGTTGCCACCAAGGGCCATGCAGATGCCCAGGGTCAGGTCAGCCACCTGGGTCCATGTTGGTGTCCGACGGCCATGCTGTAGCCAGGGCCATACAGATCTGAGTGGCCCTGTGCTGCTACCCAATACCATTGTGACATCTGGGCCAGAACTGCAGCTGAAGGCCACATCTGAGTCCATGGCCCTACTGTAGCCAGGGTCTGTGTGTGTGTTGAGACTTCTCTTACCGTCAGAGTCCATGTGGATACCCAAGGTGTGGGGCCATGTTAGTGTCTGAGAGCTACACTGTCACTGGGCCATGCCAATCTGAGTGGCCTGCAACACTGCCTTCCATGGCAATGGTGACATGTAAACCTGGCTACTGCAGAGGACCATGTCTGGGTCCATGGTCCCATTGAGGCTGGGGTCTGTGTTGAGGTTCGAGACCACCAAAGGCCACACAGAAGCCCAGGGTTGGGACTGTAACCTGTGGCTTGATTGGTGTCTGGGGGACCATACCTGACTTGAGTGTCCATGCTTCTACCCAGAGCCAGGATGACATCTGAGCCTGGGCTGCTGCTGAGGGCCATGTCTGGGTCTGTGACCCAGCTGCAGCTGGAGTCTGTGTTCATATCTGTGACCTGTGTCACCTCAGGGGCCATGCATGATGAAGTCAGAGGGTGCCGAGCCCCACCCTTCAATGGCCCTGGGAAAGCTGGCCCTGCCTCTCACTGGAGACTGTAGCAAGTGAGCCGACCCCTGCACTGGAGAGAGATGGCCCCACCCCTCACCACAGGTGAGAGAGAGCCAACCCTGGTGGCAGGGGTGTAGGGGAGCTGGCTCTGTCCTCTCGCCTGAGGTAGGTGGCCCCAGTGGCCTGGACTGACTAGGTAAGCTGCCACCCAGGTCCACAGCTGGGCCTTGGGTGGGCTCACCCTAACATCTACCCATCTAGGACCTGCTGGTCCTGTGGAATTATGCCCACAGGATATCCCAGAGGAGTTCCAGTGAGGATCCAGTGATGACGATATGCCAGAAACCAGAGGCCTTGAACCAGACCGGTGACTCGTTGCAATGAACACTTGCTGGGAAAGCTGATTGGACGAAAGGGTACACTGTGTGATGCATTGCTCCCGATGTCACCAGGATGAATACAGAAATGTTGGAGAGGTGGGAAAGATGGAGAAGCCAAGAGGTTTTTAGTTTGGTTTTGTCCTTGTTCTTCTTTGTTTTGCTTGCTATGTTTTGTTTTGGTTTGATTCTTTTTTCCTTGGGAGGGGGAGTTGCAGGAGTGAAGGGAGGATATGGGGGACTGGGAGGTGAGAAGAATTGGGGTGCATGATGTGAAATTCCCAAAGAATCAATAAAGAAATTATGTTTAGGGCTGGAGAGATGGCTCAGAGGTTAAGAGCACTGACTGCTCTTCCAGAGGTCTTGAGTTCAATTCCCAGCAACCACATGGTGGCGGACAACCATCTACAATTCAATCTGGTGTATATGTAATAAATAAATAAATAAATAAATAAAAGTTTACTATGTACCCATGTTTGTCCTTGAGCTTCCAACCCTCCTATCTTATATCCTTAAAAAAAAAAAAAAAAAAAAAGAAATTATGTTTAAAAAAAAAAACCTGAACCGGGCGTTGGTGGCGCATGCCTTTAATCCCAGCACTCGGGAGGCAGAGAGGCAGGCGGATCTCTGTGAGTTCGAGGCCAGGTTGGACCAACATCCTCCAAAACAATACAGAGAAACCCTGTCTCGGAAAAACAAAAACAACAACAACAAAAAAAAACCTGAGTGAGCCAGGCGTTGGTGGCGCACGCCTCTAATCCCAGCACTCGGGAGGCAGAGGCAGGCGGATCTCTGTGAGTTCGAGGCCAGCCTGGTCTACAGAGTGAGTTCTAGGACAGCCTCCAAAGCCACAGAGAAACCCTGTCTCGAAAAACCAAAAAAAAACCAAAAAAACCAAAAAAAAAACCTGAGTGATGTAAACCCTTTCCCACCCCCCACCTCCTCAAAAAAAGAGAGGACCAAGTTCAGTTCCCAGCATCTACATGTGATTTACATCCAAATGGGAGATCTGATGACCTCTTCTGACCTCTACAGATACCAGGCATGCAGGTGGTGCACACACATACACACATGCAGGCAAAACACTCATGAGAATAAAATTAAATAAAATAAATATTCTTCAAAGAAGGAAAAATAAAACAGTGAAATTTATTCTGATGATCTATTTTATTTAACCTGATGAGTTCAAAATAGCATCTCATCATATAACTGATTCAAAAATAAAGATTGAAAAAAAGGATGTGTCTCCAATGCGCTGTGTGTACCTTAGCCGCTGAGCCACATTTCCTGTGCTCATTGGAGCAGGTGACCAGTGGCCACCTTGTAGGGGTAGCTCAGGCTTTCAACTGCCACAAAAATGAAATTTCTCATACAAAGATGGGTTGTCCAGGTAGTCCAAACCAAACGCTGGAACTGTGTAAAACCAGGCATAAGCTGGGGAGTGTGTAAAACCAGGCATAAGCTGGGGAGTGTGTAAAACCAGGCATAAAATGGGGAGTGTGTAAAACCAGACACAAGCTGGGGAGTGTGTAAAACCAGACACAAGCTGGGGAGTGTCTATGTGAGACTAATCCCATGAATCTTGATCCGTGCATCCACAGGGGAGTGTGTAACGCCAGACCTGAGCTGGCCCCTTAGGGAAGGTGACAGGGACACCCTACTGTCTGAGACAAGGGTCCCACACCCAGGACCCTCTGGACCTTGAAGGCAATCAGCTCTTGGCTTCTCACCTGAGAAACAGGGCTCTCCTGTTTGACTGTAATCATGGGGTCCAAGGGATCCCACCGCTGTGCTGCCTTCCTATGTCCTCACTGAGCCCCAAATTCACAGCCTGCTCCTGCAAACGGCCCACACTTTCCTTTTATGACCCAGTTTTTATTCCCACTCAACTGTCCTCCCTTTCCCCAAAAGCTTCAAACCGCATTCACAAAGATAGTTGAGAAAGCTGTTTGAACACTCTAGCCCAGTTGGGTCCATCTTTTTAAAATCAAACGGACCTTCTTCAGTTCTACAGTTGGGGATTCATCTCCATGATGATAGGACAGGCTTTCTCCATTCTTTCAAGATTTAATTGCCAAGTCATTGTAGAGACTGTTAAAAATAGGGGCCTCTGCGTAGTTTTGCTGGGGAGGAAGGACTGAATCTAATTCAATTTGGTGAGTGGAATGAGGAGGGCGAGCATGCCAAAAACAGGCATGTTCACAGCGAGACAGCTTTATACGGCTTTCAGGGAGGCCTTACATCACTGGCTCGTGAAGGGTCAACAGGAGTGCACTTGCTGAAGAAGGGGCAGAAAGACACTTTAAAAAGAGAACACTATGGACAGAGACATGCACGGAGGCAGGGGGTACAGAATGTCCCTGCTATCTGGGCATGATAGTTTCTGTCTGTCTGTGACCCTGGCAGTCGGGTGTCCCTGCTATCTGGACATAATAGCTTATATCTGCGATCCTGGCAGTCAGGGGAGCTAAGCAGGAAGATCATTACAAATTCAAGGCCAGCCTGGTCTACATAGTGAGCTCCAGGCTAGCCAGGACTATGTAGTAAGACCCTGTCTCAACCCCAGCACTACAAAAAGGATGACTTTGGTCAGTTGTGCCTGGTGGTGCACACCTCTGTAATCCTAGCACTTGGGAGGCAGAGGCAAATAGATCTCTCTTATCTCCCTGGAGAAAAAGCACTCCCATTAGCCCAGGGCATCGAAGGAGTGGACACAGTTTTCTCAGGGTTAGAGTAAAAACTCTTGAATCACATGGTCAGACTGATTTTGATTAAAAAAAATGGAAATAGTTAAATTATGAAAACTAATCTCATTAAAAACAAGTATAATCCTTCCATTGTTTTGTTATATATAGTGAGACTTTACTTAAATGAACACATTGCTAGAAAAAAAGAAATCCCCAATGTTACTCCGACTGTCCAGTAGCAGTTTGGAAGGTCTGGGGAATCAGCTGGCCATGCATACCCACCACCCTAATCCCCACCGTCCTCAAGGCTCCTGGCTGTCCTATCTGTTACACTTCTACTCGGAGTAGCTACGGTATTTCAGGGTGGGGAGTGTGAGGTGAGTATTGTCGTAGTTGCTGATTGTTGACAAAACAGTCTAGCTTGGAATTTACTGCAGGCACAGTAATGATTTCCCAACAGCCACAAGCACCCTGTGGTGGAGCTCCCTGAGGAGGGACCACACCTGCCTGGGGCCACTTCCTGTCTCCAGGTAGACCCAGCTCAAGGACAGCAGGCTTTCTGTCCAGACACACAAATCACCTTGTTATGGAGTAACTGTAGCTGTGGGCTGCCTGTTTACCTGGCAGTCACGGTCGGAGGAGAAAGACGCTCACCCTGTCGGTCGCGGAACACGGTGGTGGGAACCTCTGTTGGGAACACAGTGCGAGCAGATTGGAGCAGGCGGTGGCAGCATTAGTCAGACGCCTCCTTCCCTCCTCGCTGGTCCTCACCCAAGCACCTCCTGGGGACAATGAAGTTGACTGCAACATCAGAGTGCGGACCCTAGCGTCCAAAAGAGCCCTTCCTCGCTGCCTAACTGTGGGCCCTGTCACCAGTGTGGGAGGCAGGGAAAGACGCCATCATTGCTCTCATTTAACAGGGAAGAAACTTAAGGATTGCCAGACATTGGTGGTGCATTGGCCCACGTCTTTAATCCCAGCACTCGGGAGGCAGAGGCAGGCGGATCTCTGTGAGTTCAAGACCAGCCTGGTCTACAGAGCGAGTGCTAGGACAGCCTCCAAAGCCACAGAGAAGCCCTGTCTCAAAAAAAAAAAAAAAACCAACAACAAAAGAAAAAATAAGGATTAATGCCAAGCTCGGAGCCTCTGGAAGTCACAACCCCACCGGGGCTCTGCCACCTACAATCCCTTCATGGTAGCTGGCGCTCCCTGGGCAGCAGCACAGCGGTACCTGAAAATGCTCAAGGGTCCTCCTCAGAGAGCTGGGCAGGTATCCCGACTGCCAACCCAAAGCGGAGCCTGTTTCCCACTCGCCAGAGAAGAACGTCTGGAGACCACGGGTTTAACCAAGCCTCTCACCTCCCAGGGGAACAGAAGCCAGGGAGACTGGGAGATGGACCGACACTCACTGCTCACGCGGAGCCTTGCCAGCCAGAAGCCACAGGTGGCGCCCTGGCTCCCTCACCCTGCTGCAGGTCTCTCACCCATCGCAGAAGTCTTCCCATGCTTACACCCTGCTTCCCACTGCAGCTTGCCGCCAGCCTCCCTTCTGAGGACTTGGAGACACCGTGCTCCCTGACAGAGAGGATTTTTTCCCCCTCGAAGACCTAAGTTTGATTTCAAATTCTGACCTCCTCTGTGGTGGGTCCAGGGTTCCTGTGCCCTGCCCACACTAAAGTCTATTGTGACACTCATGTTTGTAATCACAGAGACAAGAGGATTACTACGTGTTGGCGGGCAGCCTGGTTTACATAGAGAGTTCTAGGAAAGTCATCAAGAAGCAAAGTGGCCCTTGAGGACAGATCAAATCACTCCTACCTGTGTAAAAAGGTCCCCAAAAATGCCATCCTAATGGGCTCCTCTGTAAGCTGCTTAGCTGTGATACAAAATGGGGGTGGGGGTCAACTTATATTACCTTTTATTCCAATCATAAAGCAAAATGTTCTCACTGCAGAATATCTGGAATTTTCACATGTAAGAACAGTACTCAAAAATCAACATTATTTAACACTTGGAATAGTCCTTTATCTTTTTTTTAATGTCTCAAACACTAAAATTTTTTAATTGGCATCAATTTAAGATAAGAATTGATGGGCAGGAGAGATGGCTCAGAGGTTAAGAGTACTGGCTACTCTTCCAGAGGTCCTGAGTTCAATTCCCAGCAACCACATGGTGGCTCACAACCATCTGTCAAGACCTTGTACCCTCTTCTGGCCTGCAGGCATATTTGCAGGCGAAATACTGTATACATAATAAATAAAAAAATTTTTAAAGATAAGAATTGGTATCATGTATTTTCTCACTTGATATATTATTTTTCCTCCTATCAAGGTATTCTCTAAAATGTATTTATTTTCAACTAGTCTTCTAGCCTTAAAAATACCAATTGCTTCTGATTCTTCTTTTTTTTTTTTTTTTTTTTTTTGGTTTTTCGAGACAGGGTTTCTCTGTGGCTTTTGGAGGCTGTCCTGGAACTCACTCTGTAGACCAGGCTGGCCTCGAACTCACAGAGATCCGCCTGCCTCTGCCTCCCGAGTGCTGGGATTAAAGGTGTGCGCCACCAATGCCTGGCCCCTGATTCTTCATTATTTTGAAAATACATGTATGCTCGTGTTCACAATCCCACGCACACACTTAAAAGCATGTTTATAAAAGGTGTATGTGCACACACAAATACCTACATCTGTATGAGCATCTCCCAAGCGCATCATGTTTATACCTCCTTCTATGACAGTGAGGTACCTAGGCTCCTGTCACTCACCTGCATGCAAACATCCCACCTAGAAGTCCTTCCTCTGTAACGGAACAGCCCACACCATCACTATGCCCTGCTTTGGAACACTTTTTTCCACTTAGCATGGGCTCCATGCCCCCTTCACTTCCCACTTAGATGCCCTCCTGCCATGCCTGACGCTGATCCTGTCATGGTCCCATTCCTGCTGGCCTCATTCCCTGCTCAAGCACACACTACCCACCTCAGGCCAGACTGACCAGAACGAAGAATGCTTAGCACAAACCATCTGCCTGTAAGGATTAAGACAACTGTAGGCAGCAATAGCACATCTGAATGTAAGAGGTTTCTGTTGTTGCTGCTGTTTTCTCAAAGTCAGAAGAGGCCGTATTACATCACTGAAACATCACAAACCAGTCTTAGCACCTGGGACCTATTTTTTTCTGACATTGGGCAGCTCTTTGATGGCATGAATCCCTTGCTGAACTGTTTCTTTTTTCCAGGACACAGACACCCCTACACAAATTGTCAGAGTGTTTTGTTTGTTTGTTTTGTTCACTTGTTTTGTTTTTTTAAGATCTTATTTTTCAACCCCTACAGCTAGGATTCAGACACATCAAATAAAAACAGGCAACAGTCCCAGCACTCGGGAGGCAGAGGCAGGTGGATCTCTGTGAGTTCAAGACCAAGCCTGGTCTACTGAGGAGTTCCAGGACAGGCTCCAAAACAATACAGAGAAGCCCTGTCTCGAAAAGAAAGAAAGAAAGAAAGAAAGAAAGAAAGAAAGAAAGAAAGAAAGAAAGAAAGAAAGAAAGAAAGAAAGAAAGAAAGAAAGAAAGAAAGAGGCAACAGAAAAGTTGTAAGAGTCAAAGAACCAGGATTCCTGTGTCAAGATAGTGTCTTCTGTATATGCCAGGGAGGTCGCACCCATGAAATATCGAAATATGGCTGCCAAAAAGATCTGAAAAATGACACCAACAGTTGACGTGCCAGCATAGATGGGGAAGTATTACAAGACCTCACAGATAGATGAAAAGCTACAGATTATTAATGGCTGCTGAGAAAGAGAAGTTTCCATCTTCTCCAGTGATGAGTCCCTGATAATTATCTGTGCAGTGCCCGCAGAGGCCAGAAGAGGTCACCAGATCCAATGGAGTTGAAGTTACAGATAGTTGTGGGCTGCCCAATGAGGCCCAGAAACTAAAACTGGGTCCTCTGCAAGAGTAGTGCGTGCTCTTAACTGCTGAGCCATCTCTCCAGCCTCAAAACTGTTATATTTTACTTTTGGTTTTTCAAGACAGGGTTTCTCTGTATTGTTTTGGAGGCTGCTCTGTAGACCAGGCTGGCCTCGGACTCACAGAGATCCTCCTGCCTCTGCCTCCCGAGTGCTGGGATTAAAGGCGTGTGCCACCAACACTCAGCCACACATGAAACCCTGAAGAATTATCACAAGCTTCAGATTTCACCAAGCGGCCTGGCCATCTGAACCCGGTGGTGCAAAGGCAAACATTTGTGCCCCCCCTCGTCTTGTGACAGAGCCCCGTGTGACTCCCCTGGCTGCCTTCCATGCTTGACCACAGATAGGGTAAATGGCAGCCAGCATCTTCTTACTTCCACGCCGTTTGTCAAGTCAGAGACTCTTCCCTTTCTTTCTGAAGAGACCAGAATCTACTTGGATGTGGCTAAAGCCCCTCTGAAAGGTTCCTCTGGAGCCTTTGAATTGATGGTCACCCAAGAGTGGCGAGGGTCTAGAGTGTGGTCCACCTCATTGCTGGGAATGGTCTTTGCTCTCTCTGTAGATGTGGTGAAGGCTGCCAAAGAGGCTTTGTGGCGCAGAGGCCTCTGCTGTCTGTGCCTAACCCTGCCTGGCTCGGGAGCTTAGCTTTCAAGCCAGCTGATCACAGATGCAAGCCCTAAGCCAAGCAGCCCGGCCCCTCTGAACCCTGGCTCCTTCGCGTAATTGTCAATTTTAATGTATTTCTGGAAGGCTGAGATATGAGAAAAGCTAGGAATTGAAAAATGTTGAGATTGGATGCTTTTTTATCGAATGAGTCGTGTGGAAATGTCGGGCTGAGATAATGAATCAGCAAACAGAGAAGACAAGCCTAGTGGTTTCCACAAGTGTGGAAGGATAGGAACTTGCATAAGCCAGGTCCCGACAGCTCCATCCAGGGCTCACACTCACCTCTCCCTGCAAGCATGGGAAGCAGTTGCACAGCGGAGCTAAGAACAGAATTGAGGAGCACCAGTGGGGACAGAAGGTTTAAATTCCTCCCGTAGGCCAACGAGATGGCTCCACAGGTAAAGGTACTTGCTGTGTGAGCCTGATGACCTGAGTTCAATCCCCAGGACCCGCTAATGGTGGAGGGAGAGAACCGACTCCATAGTCAGCCTCTGACCTCCACTCATATCCCCACACATATGTACACACACAATAATAACGCATTTAACTTTTTTTAATGACAAGTGTCACGAGTTCATGTGCAGTCTCTAGAAACTCAGGAGCGGGCATCGTCTTCCACACTCCCGTCACCTAAACAGCTTTTCCTGAGCCCTAGACTCCCATTCTGGGGGGGGGGAGGCACAGAGCAGGAGAGGAGGAAGGAGACAGATTGGGGTGGTGACAGGAAAAATAGATGGAGAATAAAGAAAATGAGAGAAACAGTGGCAACAACAGAGCTAGGGCTTGGAGGAGTGTGTATCTGAAGCCTGCTCCTGTTCCCAGGCAACCACAGAGAAGCTGCCCCCAGGCAGGACCTTGTCTGGTGAAGAAAACGGTGCATTCTTCTCTCTGTGTGTGCATACTCTAGCCTGTACAAACAGAAAGCCACTTGTGAGACGGAATTTCCACGGCAAGGAAGGGCCCTGGAGGGAAGGTGTGTGGCAGGACCACCTGTCCTGTGTCCGTATCACCCTAACACCAGAGCCACCTGGATACAGCAGCAAGGACAGGTTCCGTCCCTATGGTGCGGAAGAGCCTACTTAGTTCACTGCTTTCAAAGGTGGAGGGAATTAACGTTTCCTTGGGGGGTATTTGGCATGCCTGGAGGTTCAGAGTTCAATCTGAGTACTGGCTGAGAGTCCTGCAGAAATGCAGGACAGCCACACAACAGAGCTACCCAGTCTTCAGACATCCACAGTGATGAGGTGAGCCTCCATACTCCGGAGGTCAGCTTGTGATCACCTGATTATTACACACAGCAATGTGTCAACAGCCGGTACACTCACTCCTTGCCAAATTACCTCTCCCACCCTGGCTGGGAAACGCTGCTAAGGTACATCATAGATTGCTGAGTATACTCTGTCACCTTTGGGCTGGACAGGGATTCAGAAATACTGATGCCCCCGAAGGAAAAAAGAAACCCAGCCAGCTTGCCTCTAGCCATGCCCACTGGCTAAGTCGAGCATTTTCTATACAGGAACCAGATACCATCACTGCCCTTTGAGTCCCCAGCTCCTCTCTTATTCCTACAACGACCTCAAAAACACCCCTGTCCACCACCCAACCTGTGAATCAATCCAGTGACTCTTCCATACCTTCCCAGCCAGGAGTTAAGACAACAGAGTCCACAATAGAAGCCTCAACCCTAAAGTTGGAAAGCAATTTCTGGGAACAGCTCCCCCAGCAGAAAAGCAAATTCCCCAAAACGAAGGCGGTGGGAGACAGAAGTTTTTGCCAACAGCACACTGACAGCAAATATCTAACACTACAGCAGAAAGCAATCGGCATAGAAATTGCCGCCCGGGCGACAGCTCCCAGAACGGGGGAGACCTTACTGTGCTTGTCAAGAGCATCTGAACAACTCCACGCTGGAGAGCAGACCCACTGGTGTCCTTCGCTCAGGACGGGTCAGAGGTGACAACAGGGAGACAGCTCCTTTGAGTCCCGAGGCATCCATACCCAGCCAGTCAGCCAGGTTCCCAGTCCCAGCATCTCCAAGGATGGCTGCAGACTTGTCTCTGAAGTCAGAGCAGCTCTCCCACTGCTGAAAATATTTGAGCTGTGCCAAGCAGATGGTCCCACGCTTATCAGCAGAAGCGGTACTTCAAATGGCATCATTCGCTGACACGCAAGTGAAAATCCGTACCCTGATTCATAGCGGGAACGACTGACGGTAGCGCAGGGTGGCTTATCACCTTGAGAGGCTAGGGCCAGCCTAGGCTAAGGAGAGCAGTGCTCCTGAGATACGACGTATGAAAGGGCAGAATGCATAGACTCATTCCTGTTCCTAGCTGAGCTCGCAAGAAGTCACATGACCTGCATTGAGCCCTTGGAGACTCAGTCTTCTCTACTGTAAAATGAATCATTAATATTACCTCAAAAAAAGTTGTGGGGATTAAAAGGGACATGCATGTCTAAATCCGCATAGTGGGGGCACACGGATAATCTCACTCTCTCTTGCTGGTCCTTGGAATGGATCGTGCACAGTTTAGTGTGCTAAGTTGGGCTGAGATCATGGAGAGGAAGGGAAGCCAAAGAACCAGGGGCTGTGGTAGAGGAGAATGTCTGCCCCGTGGCAGTACCCAAGCAAAGTCCTTCCCAAGAAGTGCAGCTCTTGTTAGATTCTCTCACGGGAACCTGGAAACGCAGCATTAAGTAGCTTTTCCCTTGGCCTCTGCCTGCTTTTCCCCAAGAACTCAAGACAAAGCCAAGCAAGAGAATTCTAGGTCACCTGGATCTTAGGTAGTCATGCCTACAGTGAAGAACTACCTCCCCCACCCCACTCCTGTCCACACTTCCTCTTTTCAGAGAGCTTCCTCCAGTTACCACAGTGAAGTAGCAGTAACCCTGGAACCGACTGGATCAAAGCGGAGGGAAGTAGTGATTCCAGTGCATTGGAAAGCAGGTGTCCATGGACCAAGTTCCGAAGCCTCCGCTGAGACTGTTTCCAAAGCATCTCTGAAGGGTGGGAGCTTAACTGCTCTGCAGGAAGCCCAGGACTCAGTCCTCCCAGTGGGGAGGAGACCACAGGACAGGGGGCTTCCCCCAAAGACCTTCAGACCACAGCTGGCCAGACACACAGAGAGACGGCAATCAGCAGAACTGGTGAGCTCTGGCCGGATGTGGAAAATGCTCTCTCGTTACCTGATTTCCACGTTCCAACGGAAGGGAAGGCCAGCCTCCTGGAGGAGAAGCTAAGCTTCAGGAGGAAAGTCAGAGAGAAAGGGAAGCCCACTAGAGCAAACTACAAGGTAGAAAGGAAGGCTCACATGGTGAGGAGGGATCCACGAGAGATGCCAGGGAGAGCCAACAGGCTGGCCAAGAGGTCCCCAGCAGGGGAAAGGGATGGTGTGAAGGAGAATGGGATGGGACAGAAGGAGTCTCTCTCTGCTCCTCTCTCCACATTTGGCACTTCTCAGAGCTGAGTCTGTCCAGATTTGGAAAACAGTTGTCCCCAGGAGTGCCGTGGAGCCCTGAGCAGAGTGACCAACTAGAGAGGAGACGCCAACGTCATTGTTTAAGTCAACAGACGGGCGCACCCATTTCCCTTTTTTCCCATGTCGGAACACCACAGAGATGCCTGGCCACTCTGGCAGTGGACAAGTCACCCAATCTGGAAGTTGTTACCAGTCACCAGGTGAATTCAGAGCAGAGGTCCCAGGAAGCTAGGTGATCACATAGTCTGGAGGGAGGTTGGTCACCGGCATGGGGGATGGCTCTCCTCACACAGAGTGAGTGGGTGGGGGATGTTGCCAATTGTTTTGTGACTAATTGGCACCACCAAGAAAGCAGGAACTGTCACAGATGGGGCTGGGGTTTCATTTGTGGTAGATAATGATTTATGCTTAGCGAAAATACAGTATCTTACTGTAAAAATAAAGCTGCTTACATTTGAGCCACAAATAGGACAGCTATTTCTGTGCTTGGTTTGTCGTTGTGAGTAATCGTTTTCTTCAGAGGTGGGAAGATTTGGGGGAAGGAGGTCTAGAGAGAGCAGGAATAGGGCTGGCTGAGCCCCGGGAAGAGAAGTGTCTGTGATCCCCCCCACACCCAACTTCCCTTAAGTAGAAGTTCTAGACTGCAGTCCTATGAAATAAGTCACACCTTCTGGAGTTCCTTAGAGAAAATTCCCCTGCTCCTCCTGTCAAACGACAGAAAGGTAAAAGAAGTCTTGGGGGCTCAGCAGAGAGAGAGGTGGGGGGGAAGCATCATGATCATGACAGAAGCCACCTACGGGAGGATCCATTGGTTTCTGCTCACCGTCCAAGCATCCGGTCTGCCATGGATTAAGAAGTCACCATGCTAGGAGCTCGAGGCAGCTGCTCACATTCATTCCTTCAGCAGTCAGGAAGCAGAGAGCAGTGAACGCCGCCACTCAGCTGGCTCTTCCCTTTCCTGTCAGTCCAGAACCAGGACCCACGGAACCGTACTGCCCAGATACAGAGTGCTCCTAATGAGATAATCCAACAGCCGTGTCAAGGGGCTTGTCTTGTAGGCGACTCCAGTTAACAACTAATGTTAACTAACACACGCAGTAACATGTAACACAGGAAGCCTGGCGGTAGATTCACAGCAGGTGGTGGAGTCCACATGCGGTAGAACCCAGAGGAGATCCCATGTTTTAAATTCCAAAGCCTCCTAGGATGGTGAGGGCGGGGCTTGACTCTGCCCAGACCTAGGGAAGTGGGTGGGCGCATGTCAGTCGTATCCTCAAATGTGTCCTCACCTGGAGCCAACTCTGCCCAGTCCTAGATTGCTGAAGCCAGGAGGAGCGCCTCGAGGGCTTCAGGCAAGCCCAACACTTCCCTTCTGACTCAGAAAATCGAGAGACCTGGAAGAGCCATTGAGTGGTGAGAGAGACAGAAGGAAGATGGATCCGCCCTCCCCCGGCCCCCCCACCCCGAACACGCTGACTGACGGCCAGTGCACGCTGTCCTCCTGGTCCACGGTTAGAACTGACTTCGGGGATGTTATAAATGTGATCTTGCAAACTTGAGTGCTCAGCGATTCTGTATCCCATCGCCCTGATTGACAGGTTCTCGGAGCAGACCCAGCCTAGCATCCCCCTCTGCCCTCTAGTCCTGCAACTCTGTCTTCAGATCTCAGGGACCTGATAAAAGTCAAAGATAAAAAGCCTGGGAAGGCTACTAACTCTCCCAGGCCATCTGATCCCTTCAGCCTGGGGGAATCTTCTGTCTTGCCCTGTACAGGGATTGGCTGGATCTGTCCCAAGCCGAGATTTTCATTTGCAGAGTCGGAACAACCGGTACCGCCTCCCTCTTTTTCCCTCACCTAGACAGGCCTGGGCAGTCAGGTCCAGGGAGAACGCTCTGCTAGGTGGAAGAGTCCTAGGTATGAAAAGAGAAGACAACTGGTTTAGGAAGATAGAAGCAGCCCTCCTAGATAAATCCCAGCAAGGATGCCTACGGCCCCAGCTGCAGCCTGACCTTCGTCCTGAGAGCTCCTCTGCATCTGTGTATTAAGGAGGTTTTTCCCAGCTGCTGAGTAATGAGGAGGGCATGAAGTGACGCAGAATAAGTAACAGTCCTGATCAAAGCATCTGTGCTAAGGGTCCTGAGAATACGCCGGGCCACTCCCCTCCAACAGACTGTGACCATGAGGATGGCTATAGCAGTCAGACAAAGCACTGTTAGCTCTAAAATGAAAATGCCCAAATCAAACATAAATGAATAAATGTACCATGACTACAGCGCTCGGGTAGTCGGAAGCAGGAGGAAGTAATTAGAAGATGCATTGATAAAGTGTTAGGAAGCCTGGCCCGGCCCAGCCCAGTTATAAGGACCACAGTGGCTTCAAACACATGTGTCACTAAGGATGACCTTGAGCTGCTTTTTTCATTATGTGTATTTGTGTGTAGGTGGGCCCACGGGCATGTGCCCAGAGAGGCCAGAGGAGTTGGGACCCCGAAGCTGAAGTCATAGATAGCTGTGAGATGACCAATGTGGGTACTGACAACCAAACTCCGGTCCTCTAGAAGAGCAGTAGTATGTGTCCTTAACCACCAGGACATGTCTCCAGTGTTCCAGTCCGCCCTAGAACTTTGGTTTGTTTGTTTGTTTGTTTGTTTGGGTTTTGTTGTTGTTGTTGTTTTTGGTTTTTCAAGACAGGGTTTCTCTGCATTGTTTTGGAGCTTATCCTGGAACTCACTCTGTAGACCAGGCCTGCTTCTGCCTCCAAGTGTTGGGATTAAAGACGCGTGCCACCAACACCTGGCTCTGACTTTGAACTTTTAATACTCCCACCTTCACTTCATAGATGCTGGGATTACAGGTGCATACCACCCCTGCCAATTTTACGCAAACCCAGGACTCCCTGAATGCTATGCTATGCTATGCTATGCAAGCATTCTATCAGAATATATATATATATACATATATATATACTCATCTGGGGCTGGAGGGATAGTTCAGTGGTTAGGAACTCTAGTTGCTTTTCCCCAGGGCCTGGTTTGATTTCCAGCACCCACACAGTCACTCTCTAGCATCCATAACTCCAGTCTTAGAGAACCCAGTGCCTTCTTCTGGGCCTTCTCAGGAGACATTGCATAAGTTTGGGGCACAGACATACATCCAGACAAGAAACCCATGCACACAAAATAAAAATAAAGTTTAAAATGTTTTAATGCTTATTTCTATTTTACGTGTCTGGGCATTTTACCCGCATGTTTATCTGTGAGCCACATATGTGCCTCATGCCTACGGAGTCCAGAAAAGGGTTCAGATCCCCCGGAACTAGAGTTACAAGCTGAACCCAAGTCCTCAGAAAAGCAGTGCACGCACAGCCTTAGCAGTCAAGCCATATCTTCAGTCCCATTGAAAAGGGTTTACAAAGGAAGTTAAACAAATGGCCAATAATCTCATGAATACATTAATCATCAAAACATTAATCATCAGAGGAATGTAAATTAAACCCTGATGAGATACTACCTCATACCTGCTGAAATGTGGGTACAAAAGACTGCAAACACAAGACTATCCATTCCAAATGGTGGTAAAGAGGGGGCATAATAAGAACTCTAGCCAAGCAGTGGTGGCTCACACCTTTAGTTCCAGCACTCAGAAGACAGAAGCAGGTGGATCTCTGTGAGTTCAAGGCCAGCATGGTCTACAGAGAGGTTTCTAGGTCAGCCTCCAAAACTACACAGAAACCCTGTCTCAAAGAAGAAGAAGAAGAAAAAGGAGGAGGAGGAGGAGGAGGAGGAGGAGGAGGAGGAGGAGGAGGAGGAGGAGGAGGAGGAGGAGAAGAA